AATATTTATATTAGTATTGTTGAGTAAATTAAACTTAACCTTTTCTGTGTATGATTTATATATGCTTCATCACTGCCCTTTTAGGCAGCTGCTGATATTCCACACCTCTATTATTCGTTCCACTGTCATCATTGATGGGGGGATTTTAAACAACCACAACTTAGGCTGGGCAGATCTGCGTTTTATATTAATTTTTTTTTATATTTATAAGAACTTTATTAGTTAAAACGTACACCAAAGCAAATTATTCTATCGGATCAAATTTTTGTTTCTTCTCTTTTTTACTTTTTAAGTTGTCTCCTAGAGAGTAGAGACATCAATCACATGTTTCATCAGTTTGCTGCTAAAAACCATTTTATTGTTTCAGTGCAACAATCCAACAATGACATCAGTTAGGACTAGAAGATAACACCAACACCACCAACTCTAATTCACTTGCTTCATTTCTGGGAAAAGAGATTCCTAAAACAAGAGCTCTTTCTAAAATAGAGCAACAATGGCATCACTACTAATGGGAACAATGGAACAGAACAACAACAGTTACAAAGAGCTTATTACTACTCTTCATCAGAGGGATTCAAAGGTTTCACACAAATCTAACTTGTCTTATTTTCTTAACATTAGTTTCCCTAATAAAAAGAATTGTAGAGTCTCAAATGCAGCTTTTACCAAGGTAAGAATCAGGATCCCAAAGCTATTTGTCAAGAATGCTAAGAAACCTTTGATGATTTCATTTGTCAAACATCAAAACTATCACAGTATGCAGTTGTTTAATTCTGGCCTTGGGCTGTCATTAGCTTTCGGTTTGGCATCATTGGGTCTTTGATGATTTCAGTGTGCTATTTCCTCCATCCCCAACTACTTCTGTTGCTGCACTCTGCCTAGTAGCCGCAGCATGTTTTGGAGCACTGAAAATGCCATAACTAGGTCGTTGGGAACCGGGAGCATTTTGAATAGACTGTTCTTTCTTAAAAACCTTATCTGTAGAAGGCTGTGTGGAATTTCTGAATGATGAGGCATCATTTCTGACTGGCATGTGCTCTGTTGGCGGATAGCCGCTCACATTACTTCGTGATTGGCCTCCTTCATATGGTGACTCAGGACCTTGTTGTACTCTGTTCGATGCACCTGGACCCCTATTAAATTGGCTTGAATATACTGGAGAAAATTCAGATGGTTTAATATTTCCAGCAGGCGTCTCTCTTGACATTGTAGGCTGGAAACAGCTCCTAACTTCACTTGGTTCACCATATCTATTCCCACCTATCGGCCTACGTCCTACATCCTGCTTTGAGCTTGCATTAGCAACATCTTTCTGAGGTGAAGTACTATTTGTTAATTCTGTAGGCTGAAACTGTCTCCTAGTTGGTCCACCATATCTATTCTCACCCATCTGTGCAGCTCCACCATATCTGTTCTCAGCAGTCTGTGTAGGTCCACGATATCTGCTGTCATCCATTTGTGTCGGTCCTTGTGCCAGGAAAGGTACTTTTAGATTGGTAGATCTAGGATCCAGCTTGGAGTAAGGTGTGCTTGCACTGGCAACATCTTTCTGAGGTACAGCACCATCACTAGACTGAAACCGGCTCCTAACTTCAGTTCGTCCACCATATCTGTTCTCACTCATCTGTGTAGGTCCACGGTATCTGTTGTCATCCATCTGCATAGGTCCTTGTGTCACGGGAGGTAATCCTGGCTTGGAGTAAGGTAAGCTTGCATTGGGGACTGCTTCCAAAGGAAAAACACCACCTCTCTCACCGCCCGTTTGTCTGGTAACAGAACTTGAAGCGACACCCTTGTTATCATCAAAAGAAAATATTGTCTCCAAATCCGTATTTACATCCGAAAGTGACCAAGTCGTTTTGTTTTCTCCAAGATCTCCATGAGGCAATTCATTTGATGTAGATGGTGTTTCCATTTCGTCAGAATCAATATCGTCTTCAGATTCTGAATGTGACACCGTGTCATCCAATTCTTCATCTCTTACATGACCTTGACTGGGCCCGGCCTTGAGGTTATCTGTTGGTGAAGTTGTTCCCTTGGAAGCTTTCTTGCCTTTCTTAAAACCAAATTTCGCATGCCTTACTATGATATATGCTTGCTTCTTCTCCACCATAGGACCACTTTCAATAACAGCAACATCTTCTATCTACACAAATAATGCACTTCTAAACATGAGAAATCAATAGAGGGGGGATTCAATCACTCTGTTGTCTCAACAGGCTGAGTTAATATATAAATTAACAGAACACTAAATAAATCGTTCAGATAACTTTAAGTAGAATACAAGAATATTCAAGAAATTGCAGCCATACCATCGCTGACAGACGAGCCAACAATCCTCCCAAATCTTGATCTTCAGTTCCCACAGCCATACACTGTTGCATAACCAGGGAAAGCTGTTATACTTGATGCTCAGGAAATTGTGTTAACTAGTAATTCGACATACTGTATTGCTTAATTGCTAAGGAGCACAAAAATGGATAAAATTTGCATAAAATCTGTCAAATTGTAGTCTTGACATTACATTCTATATTAGAAGTGAAAGAGAGGATATTATTACATAAAGAATTCAATCGACAGTAACACCTGTCCAGTGATGCCCAAAAACTATCACCGTATGGAGCTTCGGGTTTAATGGCTGGACGGCGTGAAGCTCTGACACATGCATGGGTGGCAGGTTAGATCACATTGAATGTAGGGATCAGCATGACAATTAGTGATTTATTATAGGTGTAAGGGTAGGTAGAGGGTTGTGTAACTTAGCAATCATGGAGTCTTAGGGATTTATGGTTCTAATGACTGTGTGGGTTGTTGGGAATTAATTACTGTTTGATCCCCTAAATGGGCTTCTAGATGATATAACAATATGGTTGATTTATATCAATGAATACATTCTATTTATGAAGAGAAGTAGCACATTTTAGCTTAATAGAAAATATGGCAATCATCTTTACTGGGTGGTCAATTTAGTTGATGCACTCAGTCTCAGTGCAACAAATATATGTACTTTGAACCAAATTGAAAGAACTATGACGATTTTCGGGATTCGACAACCAATGTTCTTAACTAAGAACTCACACAAAAAGAAGACTCTTCTCAAAACAAACACAGTTCTATTAACCAACCAACTCCAACTTGACCGCCTACAACTCTTTAAATAGTCAAAACAATCCTTGGAAAACAAGGAAACCTAAACCTAGAACAATTCTAATAAAACTAGAAACCCTAATTCGGAATTAAAATAACATTAAAAATAGAATAGCCTTAAATCATAAAATAAACATAATCCTAAAAATCCCTAATAATTCTAAAAACATATAGCAAGACTTTTGACACAAATTAAAAGTTCTAAACCCTAGAATGCATCAGCTCTCCCCGGGTTCGAAAAAGTTCGTCCATGAACTTGAAGCTTTCAAATTCACCAAAAAAAGTTGTAGTTGCGCGTTGGTGCTGCAAGCTTGAACTTGGCTTATGTAAATCAAGGAGTCTACCTCGGATTTTTCCCAAAAATCTGCTCACTCTCATAAGAAGTAATAACCCAAAAAGTTGAATTCTTCCACGAACTTTACTTGCATAAAAACCAAATTGTAGGAACCTAACAAAACAATGATACTTGAAACACAAAATCTCCAAGTGTTTTCCATCAAAAGAAAGAACATGTCGCTGAAATTTTTCCACGAAAGACTCCCAAATCGGATCAACACATACTCCAAATTCTGTAGGAAACACATCTTCTACAATATCTATGGCTTATTCATCAAAGAGAGGAAATAATTCATTCAACTCAAATGTTTTTGAACTACGATACTTACTTCTTGTAACTTGTTCTCTTTCGACAAAGATATCAAAACAATCACTTAAATATTGACATCCTTGTTTTATAAATTCGTCCATGGATTCTTGGTAAACTTGACGTGCATGACATGTTTCTTCAAATTCTTCTTGTGATATGCAAGGCCTAGTTGAAAGTAGAACAAATTTCTTGCCTTTCCACTGAATAGTATAACCATTATGTTTCACATTAAATATTGCATTTGTTTCTAACGTCCATGGATTTCCAAAAAAAGGTGGCAAGCATCTGTGTCAATTATATTACACCAAACCTAATCCACAACATTACCAATCGAAATTGAACCAAACAACTATTGTCAACTATCTTCAATTTTAACTTCTCAACCGCTATTCTTGAAATCAAATTTACATTATGTTTAGGGTCGATCACAAAAGAACACAACTTGCCTCCAATAGTACACATAGAACGAAACGCATGATTTTTAATCCAATCTGTATACCAATTCTCCATCGTTTTAATAAATAATACCAACGATCATGACCAAGGGGAGAAAATAATTTTTTTTTCTCACAACAATGCAGCAGAAGACCTTAAAAAGAGTGGCAACAGCGACGGTGGTTGAAACGACGATGAAGATGACAAAAATCAGGATTTTTAAGGATGTAGAAGCCTCAAAACCTTGCTCTTGATACCAATTTGATGCACTCGTGCAATAAAGATATGAACTTTGAACTGAATTCAAAGAACTATGACGATTTTCGAGATTCAACAACCAATGTTCTTAACCAAGAACTCACACAAAGAGAAGACTCTTCTCAAAACAAAGACAATTCTATTAACCAATCAACTCCAACTTGGCCACCTACAACTCTTTAAATAGTAAAAATAATCTTTGGCTATGTTGTCACGGGCGCCGCTGGGCGCTATATTTTGAACCTATCGCTCCGCCGAGCTGAATCACAGCCCAGCGCCGCCTAATTTCGCCCGACGCCGCCCTGACGAACGCTTAGTTCATGGCGGGACGATTTGAGGTGTTTTTGGGTTGGGCCCAACAAAAAAA